CAAGACAAAGGCCTTGGAACTCGAAGCATGGTATATTGAGTACAAGTTTCCGCTTTTATTTAAAGTACATGTGAAAGACGCAAAAAGAAAGAGAGGGAGAGAGAATGCTTGTTTTTGAGTATATATATATGAATGTTTGTGTGTAAAAGTAATTTAGAGTTTCTAACGTGTTTTTTCTTTACATTTTGTAATTTCTGAGGCCTGCAAAATGAAATTCTCGTTTCAAGGATTTAATTGAGTCTGCAAGAAAAGGTATTTAGTGAAATCATTCATTGATTAAAAAAAAAATACATCAACTTACGTTCCCTTGCAAAATTTACTACCACACAAACAGGGTATCTTGTCAGCTTCGATTGGGAATTTGTAATCATATGTAATTTCTTCTCCAGGCTCAATGTCTCGATTTGCATATATAACAATTTTCTTTTGCTTGTCGACTGTAATGATTTTCGCGCTGCAATTTGGCTAAGAGAAAGGCACAAGCATTAGGTCATGTTCTTTAGTTACATTGTAGTTACACTTACAGCACAACAATGGTTGATGAATCGAGCAACGTTTCCACATTTCGTGGCATCAATGACGGTATCATCATCCACACGAAACAAGTAACTGCTTCCAATGCCGCAACGCTCATACTGCTTTTCTCGTTCTTCAGCTACTTGCTGTCGAATCACTTCGCCCACATACTCAATCACCATATCATTCATATCGATATGTTCTTCAGCATACAAACCCCAATCGTGAATAGGTGATTTGGCAAACCTTAATTGTTTCTTTCGACTTTGAAGTTGATTAAACTTGAGGATATCAGAATCGATTGTCTTTTTCTGCATTTCCATGCCCACGACTAAACGGCGATTATTAACACGAGTTGCACGAGATGAAATCCTGCCTGTATCCGCTGGCACATCAATGACGGCCTTGTTTTTGGGCAAGTAGGTTGCTTTCATTGAATCAGGGATGGTGTATACACCACGCGCACGAGCACAGCCGCCTTTAATATGCTGGGTAATATCGTCTTTGGGTTCAATACCAGCTCTTTCTAGTAATGCAGCTCTAAGAAAGTAGTAATCTTCTGGCACTTTGATTTGATTGAAGGGATCCCATTCCGGTGGGCTATCATCAACCGTATTTGGCTCTCTTAATTCCTCGCTATCAGATTCATCGGGAGCTAGTAAGGTCTTCTCTAATTCTTCTTGATTAATGACAATTTTAGTATCTTGAATGTCTCCCTCATCATCCTCTTCCTCGTCATGTTCTAACTCCTCCACGTCCTCATCATCGCCATCTTGTCCGGAAGAATTGTCTTTTAATAAGTCTTCTTCTATAACTTCGTAGATCCTGTCTGGTAGCGGTGGAGCAATCAGATCGCTCTTTTTCTTTTTCTTCCGCACTTGCTTTGTCTTTTGTTTTAGCTTCGCTTTGGAAAATGAATCATAATCACTAGCGTCATCTTCGCTGTGATGTCTCTTCTTTTTTAGCGCTGATCTCTTTTGTTTTTGCTTGCGTTTTCTAATTTCTTGGATATAGTCATCCTTTACAAAATCATCCTCATCTGTCTCAGTCTCATTGTACTCTTCTTCTTGTTGGTGGAGTTTCTTCAAAAATGCATCGTGTTCTACATCGCTCTCTTCATCGCTAATATAATCCCGTAGACTGCGAGGCCGCTGTTCTTTAAGCAATTTTTTAAGTTTGCGTTCAGTTACAGGGGAAGTGGTAGGTGATGATTCTGTTGTCGATGCATCGACCTTGACATCGACCATGGCGGCATCACTTGTGGATTCTTCAGGTCCAGAATGGTACTCCCCTTCTTCAGAACTAGATGATGATGAGAATAAAGGCGCATCTACTGCTGATGACTCTTGCTTGGTATGCGATGTTGTTGTAGTCGCTAAAGTAGATGCTTGATCTCGGTTACTGATTGCAGACGAACTTTGCTCAAGTTCGTCATACAAAAATGATTGATAATCACGTTTTGGTAGAAGCTTTTGCTTCTTTTTGAACCTTGGTAGTTTCGCAATTTTCATTGAGGGCAAAATGGATTCTATTAGATTTTCTTGAGGTGTTGATACTTTATTGCTGCTATTATTGCCATTCATTTGAGTATCATTGGGTTGTATATTATCACCAAGATGCTGAGGGCTTTTTACCAGATTAGCAGCGGCAGCGGCGGCAGCGGCGGCAGCTTCCTTCTCCAACCTTATTGCTCTTGCTGATTTGTAGAAATCATGAATCGAAGGCCCTGCAACGCGATTTTTCAAATCCTTCAAAAATACATCTGCTAGTTCATTAAACAAAATCTCTTCACTCGTCAATGGTGGGGCTAACAGTGCTTTTGTTGTCTCGACTTTGTCTGTTCTGGTTTCAAGTGTGTTTGCTACTGTAACTGATTCATTCACTCCGGTCGTGGGAGCTTCATTGATAGTGGTAGTTGTGGTCGAGGCAGTAGTTTCTATTTGCTGTACGCTCGTAGTATTAACTGTGTTTTCCATTATTCCATTATTAGCAGAAGCCGATGTTTCCGAATTGATATCTTTAGCGGCAGAAACTGATAAATCTCGAAGGGCAATTAACAATTTGTGGCCTAAAACTTGCTGCTGTTCATTTGTAGCATCCAAAGCCTTTTTTGCCATTGTAACCGAATCAAATACGATCAACCAATCCGACTCGTCATGATAGATCTACACAGAACGTTTGCGAGTTCATATATCAGTCCATGCTTTCTTTCATTTGCTGGTAATACAAAAACTCACATCAATACAATTGTAATAATAGTATATCTTTTTCAGATCCTCTAATGCTCCTCTTATGAATGGTAAGCAACTTTTTGATATTATCAACATTGGTCGAGGTCGTGAAGAGGGTGGTTTTTTGCTGTGATGCTCATCCCAATATTCAGAACGTCGTCGGCTACTACTTTCTCTGCCATAATAATCATCATCATAACGATAGTAGTTATCTCGTCTGTCTATACTTCGACTCCTACTCCTACTTCGACTTCTATACCTTGAATCAGGTGAATCCATCCCCGCATTATCCCACCGAGATCTATGTCTTGAATGATGTTCTGGGGAATCTAGGCGTCTTGGTGACGAGTAACGAGAATAGCCACTGTTGTATCTTGACGATGATCGTTCATCTCTATATCGATAGTCGTCGTAATATCTACCGCCACTGCTACGATGATAATCATCTCTAGATCGAGAATAGCGCCTTGAATCGTATCTATCCCAATTACTGTCACTCTCATCTGGATAGCGACGATCATGGTGACCATGATAACCATTATGTCTACTACTACTGTTTCCGTGTAATGGCGAGATTGGTGCTGCAGTTGCTATTGTTGAAGAGTGATGTGGTATGGATCGAGCTGGTTCTAGCTTTGGTGAAGGCACAGGTCGATTAAAATCCTCGATAGCTAATTTCAGTTTCTCACCTATAAAATTTAGATTTTATTAATTAATCATTCAATGTATAATAACTTACCTGTAGGATCAAAACAAACGTTCACAGATTCTGCAACCCCCATTTTTCGTCCATTGCCTTTTTCCACAGCAAGACACGCTGAAGCATGACCATCTGTAATTCCGTCACTGACAAAGGAAACATGAGCAATGCCAAATGAACCGCCTGTTGTTGGATCTTTTTCGATATCTACTGAATTTACTTGGCCATACACTGAAAAATAAGTTGTAATTTGCGATTCTGTCATTAGCGGCGATAGTCGAGATACTAAAATCTTGGTTGCAGGTTTCGGTCCATACGAATTCTTATCAAACTATCAAGATGTTACCTTACAACGTAATTGACACGCGTATTATATTTTAAGATATAGTACCTTGTACTCCACAAGGTGAAACTGCTTCCTATAACGATATCGACCTTTCAAAAAGTTCCTCTCATAAAATAACTTGTCCTGTCGAGGATCCCGGGGAGAAACACTCGATAATATCTTACGACTCATGTCAAATTGCTTTCATAACCTCAATAACATGATGACTTACTGGATCTGTTGGCTGGTAATCATATGGGGTTTGAGAGCTAGACTTTAAACCTTGAGTATCCGATTCTGAGTCGTATGGAACTGTATAGTTACGAGGACCTTTTGCAGTCGAATTTGTAGACCTAATTATTTTCAATTGAACCTTAATAATTAGGATGACTTCAATTTTTGTTAATTTTTACCATTTTGAATCCATGGAGAGATTCAAATAATAGCTGAATTGCCAATAACAAAGTGTGTTAAATAAAGAAGCTTTTTCTTCTAGTGAAAAAGGGGCGATGTTTAACACCAACATTTGTGAAATCCAGTTAAAAGAGTCACATTGGAAATGCCCATTGTTCTTCTGCTAGAACAACTTATCCATCCACACTCGAAAAAATTAGTTTCAAGCTTGCTTCTTCTATATTCAACCTGCCTTTTTGAATCTTTTCTCCAAGTAACAATGGTTACCATGGCTAGTATGCTTCGGACATTTCTAAAAAAGTATGATGAAGGATGAAGGATGAAGGATAAATGCATGATTAAAAGGTCGTCTCTACGATCCAATAAAAATATTTTCTCATTAGAAATCACTGTCCCCTATAGCTAGGATTTTCGCTTAGCTGATCGTTTTGTATAAAGCTCAAGTAAACTATTCTATATTCTATGCATCACAAAGCTCGAAATTTGTGGCAATACTGCGCCATATATAAATGAAATTGCAACCAAAATTAACCCAGACTGATCTACAGGTTTATTAATTGAATAACGCAGATAGAAACACGCAAAATAAGCTTACAATGGGCAAGGTATAGTGTCAAGTAGCACATACTTTGTGTGTAACCTAAAAAGTAACAAGGGATTTTTATTTTTTTATTTGCATTTATCAAAACCTAACGTAAAATCGACATCTTTGAATACGACCGTAGGGCCAAGACAAAAAAAAAAGAGAGGGAGCATTGAATGAAAAAAAAAAAACATTTCAACAATGATTCAATTGAAAAAGTCAAAGAAAAAGTAGTATCAGTGGGGTTCGAACCCACGCCCACTTACGTAGACTTGATCTTAAGTCAAGCGCCTTAGACCACTCGGCCATGATACTTTTTACAACTTTGTCAGATGTAAAATTCAATACTGAGCAATTAAAAATATAATATGGAGAAAAAACACGTGATATACACTATGCAATGTTAGGGCAAATGTTAGATAAAAGAGATTATAGTAAGTTTTGATTAAGAGAGTAAAGATGATGTTTATTTAATAAATTTCATGTTATATTTATACTAATGGTAAGCTATTTCCAGAGGTTACCATGGTTTTGTATTTGTCTGTCTTGGTTTCTAGAAATTGCTATCTATTTATAATATAAATAAGACTTATGTTTCTTGAACTTTCTGGAAGGAGGTACTCTTGGCTTGAACTTGCGTTTACCCGGCTTGGCCATTGCTACCTCCGGAATACCTGCCGAACCAGTACTGACAAATTTGACAAATAAAATATGCATATTGACTATTTAAAAATGTAATGTATTTGTTGTACCAGGTCTTGAAATTGAGCACAGCGGATGATTGTATATGATATAAAGAACATAAGAAAGTAATAAAGACTAAATTTACCAGATACAAAAACTATTGATTTATTGATTGACAAAAAGCTGTCTATTTATATTAGAATAAATCTATCTAAATCAATCTATAAAATACAATCAGGTCTTGTTTGACATTTAATTGTCAAACAAGATTATAACACAGTAGTAGTCAGAGTAAGACCTATTTCTATATTTAATCAGCTAATCGTTATGAATGTGAATCATTCATCGATAATTTGAGCTTCGCAATTTAGAATAAGTAGAACCCAAATAGATGGTTTCTTATACAAAACATTCTATTGAATACTTCTATTTACTAGATAGAATAATCAATGCCATTTAACCTTAGATCCTATCAGGAATGGTTGCCATGACAACTGAGTTGAAATAATGGTAACCATGGTATTCTATATGGATACAACACTGTTGTGGTTAAGGGTACAGCGAAACGCAGTAAAAAAATATGAAAAAGCAAGATACGATTAAAATCCTTCTTTATTTAAAAGTGGATTAAGTGTGCAGACAATTGTATTGTTATTTCTTAACGGTTCCATTATTCTTTATATGTTGTGTTATAAATTCTAATCAACCATCCTGGCTTATTAGTAGTATACTATCATGCTACTTGGGTTGATTAGAGATGGTCATTCATCAGGAAAATAGAATAATTCTATCGTAGCTATCCTAACCTTACGTGAATGTGAATATTATTGAGTTGTTTATTGACGCTGTTGATCTAACGATAGATCAAGGGCGGCATTTTAAACATGTTTTTATTCATGCGATTATGAGGCTATCTTTGTTTGATGAATTGTTCCTTTTCAGGCTTTAGTTTGTGGCACATCATGCTATTTTGACATATGTCAATTTCTATCCTGCTATTTGTTTATCTTTGTAGTTATAGCTACTATTATTGGAAAGATGGCAATATTTTATGATGGGAATCCAGTCTAGTTGACTTCAAAGGGTACTTCTGCAAACATCATGTAGCTTTTTACTTTAGTATTGATTGAATTGGGTTTGAGTATTTAATCATCAATTTTGTGATGACAAGGGAAGATAACGGATCTGGCAGTGGATTAATTGAGGGAATAAAGATGTCATGCTTCAATACATGTAAAAAAGGGTAGCCTTTTCTTTTCCGTTGTACGATGTATACGTTACCAATCCTTTTCCTCTTCTTGCTTTTGCATATTCCCAGAAATCCTAGTCGTCATCTTTGACCAAGAGCATTATGGCTAGTCTCTTAGTGCACTGTAACACAGGCGTCGTTTAATGTCAATTTCTTGATTTTTCATCCAATTTTCTACAAACACCATAAATTGGGCGGGCTGTAAACCTGGTAAAATCTCTACTTTCTGGCGCTAGTGGACGAGAAGGATCTGAAGTTGAAAATGGATCGTTTAAAAAGTGTGTGGTCTTAGACATGACATATAGTAATGTGGAAAGTTGGCTGCTTTTTACTGGTCTTTTTTTGGGTGTAGTAGTAGTAATAGGAGTAGTAGTAGTAGAAGAAGAAATTAGGCCCTACACGAAACGGTATGGCTTATCAGACGATTACTATAGCCAAATGTATATATGGAAACAAAGCTTTCAGAGGTTTGAGTAATTCATTTTGCTTTACAAGTTTGCTTGCTTCTCAGGAAAATCAACTTTGAGGCTGCTTTTTAAGTGTTTTTAATGCAACAGAGAATATATTACTTGAAGGCTAAATAATTAATTATGTGAACTGGTGCAATTCCAACAAAATTTTTAGAAAGAAAAATAATCAAGATTCCATCCATTTAAAGGAACCCATCAAAATATGTTTCTTGGGTAATCTGCCAGGCGATGGCGACAAGATGGTAACCTTCCTTTTTTCATCATCTACATCCGATCTATCAGATAGAAGAAATGAGTATTCATTCATCAAGCATCTGAAAAAGACTTACACATATACAAAGCCTGCAACATTACTCTCCAGCAATCTGTTTTCATGTTCATCTTGGTCCGCATTTAAAATAGCCAATATGGAATGCAAGCACATGTCGAAATTATCTACCTTGACGACTTGTGTTTCGTTTGAAGATCCTTCCATACCTAATGGTAGAGCACTCGAAGGTGCAATCACGTCTCCTACTCGCCAAACCTTGATATCATCATAATTGACGAGCATACTGTAAGGAGATAATTCACATTTAGGTGTGCCATAAAAGTATTCATGAATTTTACTCCTTTGGAGACGAGTTTTGAACTGCCTGTCTCGTTCAACAACGCCGCCAGATTTTGATAATTTGACAACTGACACATTTTTATTACTAAAGATCCGACTCATATCACTGTAAAGTCGTTCATGGCCGAGCACAATTAGAACATTCACTATACAAAAATTATTACAATTCCATATATCAAGCATAGCTTTGTAAATTACCAGAAAAGTTTTCAACAACATGCTTGATAATATCGTAACCTACTTGATCTACCAAACCAGCAGTATCAATGATGAATCCTGAATTTCGACACTCTTCATCCACGGCCATCCTACTTCTGATAGCCTCTGAAAGACAAGATGTGACCAATTTGTACAATTTGACATTTTCACTAGGATTCTCAAATCCATAATAGTAAGCGAGGGGCATGGTAGAAGAGCCCATTGATGCAGCTGTGGTTGCTGATGAACCGAATCCTTCTTCAACGTCGATGTTACTACTGATGCAGGTGGCTGTAACTGTACCGGGCATTGTGATGGATCCTTCTGTCGTGTCCAAAGATACATAAATAGGGTTCCCTCTTTGTCGCAAACAATAGCTAACTAAAATCTTACACAGAGAAGTCTTTCCAACGTCATGGGGCCCTATCACCAATACACGAGGACCCAAGTTATGTCCAGTCTTAGCATTTTGTCTCAGTTGTTCAAGTGCTAAATGCGTATTCAGATAACTTGTCATGGGTGTCTCATTTGCTGTATATTCAACCAAAAAAGTGCCTTTTACTTCCAATGTACAGCCGTGCCATGTGTATACGGCTGCTTTTCTACCTGTAAACGTGTATGTGATGCCAACAGCTAACTCGGTTCCGAAGATTTCTGCAGTGCCTTTTACCAATTTTAATTGAGCTTTTGTGTTGAATTCGACTTCAAAGCGAAACTCATGATCAGGCTCCAACGTGATTTCACGCGATGCCTCTGTATCTTGCTTTATACAACGATAATGAGCCAATGTTTTATTGTTGTATGAAATTCACAAACCTTGTCTTGCATATCTAATTTAGTCAATTAGTAAACAAGAACTGCAAGAACTGCCAAAGCCATTTGATGGCAGGCAACTAATGTCTACCATAGTCACAGAGATCAACAAAAAAAGTCGTGAATTATACAACCTTTTGGGGGATTCCATTTTTTTTTTTTTTATTGACTTGTAAACATGAACTTGACTACATATCTCAATAAACTTTCTTTGCATATCAACAATGAAAACGGGAAACTAGTTTCTTCGCTACTATCACTAACTCATAATCATGTGAAAGGATTGGTAAATCATGTTATTGATGTAAGTTTCGTTTATTCGCAAAAAGAAATCGCAATTTATACTCTTTATATTGCAGCCACAACAAATCGAAATCACTTGCAAAAGCAAATTAGAGGCTCCATGGAATGATGTGGCAGCAAATCATTTAAAAACACTTGGTCACGTAGATGCAGAAGATTATGAAGAAGCATTCGAAACACAAAAAGAATTAGTTCAGTAAAGTAAACTTATCTATCATTTGAAAAATAGCAATGATTAAATGAATCTTATAGAGCATTTCAAAGGGGTATGTCTAATATGACTCGTTGGTGTTTACCTGCATTATATGTTATCAACAACGATCTTCGTATCATTGCTTCCAAAGCTGACGACCAAGCAGATGCAGCGGTCGAAGGACAAAGAAAGAAATTGGAAGAGGCAGCTAACGTGATTAGTAAATCATTTACATACTGTATCACTGATCGAGGTGTATTAAACTCTTCCAAAAAGTACGGTACTTATTGTATGATTGGCATCTTGTTTAGAATCTATTTCAAGGTAAATCTTCACAATGCTGCATCCACATCTCTTTCTAACACTCAAATATTTAAAGTTAAAGCAACAAAACCTGTGCAAAAATATCCTCAGGGCCGTTAAAGCCGCAGACATGCCATCCATCGATCAGTATTCAAAGAGTGACCGAGTTACATTCAGGTACTATCTTGGTAGACTTTATTTTCTGGAAGAAGATTATGTGAAAGCCGAGCATGAATTGGACTTGGCTTTTAAAGAGTGTACCAATAAACATATCAAGAACAAAGAGTGAGTTTAAGCATAATTTTCAAGAGAGGTGCTGCTAATTGATATCTTTTAGACTTATTCTACAAACATTATTACCTGTCAAATTAATGCGCGGAATATTACCAACAAGAGCTTTGTTTGGAAAGTTTACAAGAGCACGCATGATTTACAGTGCATTAGCAACCTCGATAAAAATGGGCAATGTGAAGGCATTCAATGTTGCATTGA